TGCAAGTCGAGGCTGCGATGGCCGGGAGTGGCCACTGCACGCCAGTCTGGGCGACAGAGTGAGACTCCAACTCAAAAAACCCCCCCCCCAAAATAACAGTTTTGTCGTCTATGTGATAACGTCTTTCATTTTGCTTGGTTTGACTGTATAAGTCTGCTCTCATAAATAATGTGTCGTTTTCTGTAATTTGCTTTTTAAAAGAATTATGTCATTTCGGATTTTGTAGTTTGTAGTCTTGGTTTATTCCTTTTCACTACTATATGCCTATATAAGCATTCTATTATTCAAATATACCTTAATTTATTCATCTAATTGCCTATATATGTATATTTACATTGGTCCTGTTTCTTTAAATAGTCTTTAATAAATAATTATTATAATCTAAATATTATAAACAATTTCTGGCTCACATTTGCAAGATTTCCACAACTACAGTTGAAGACTAGCATATAATTTAGTAATGGAATGCCTTCATCACAGTATGTATGAACATCTAATGTATACCAACTTATACCAAAAGTAATTATAATATTAATCATCCCTCCAGCAAACTAGCAGAATTCTTGTCGCTCCACACTTAGGCTTATGCATGTTATTATCAAAGTTTGTTTGCTAGTCTAGGAGATATAAAAGGATATCTTACTGAGATTTCAATTTACATTTTCTTGATTACTAATGAGGTTGAACATCTTTCTATGTATTTATTGCTCATTTGTGTTTTATCGTCAATAAAATGCCATTTCATGCCTTTTGCGTTTTCCTATTCAGTTATCCCCCTTTTTTTAGTAGCTCTTTATATGTATTATTAGATGTTAATCTTCTGTCAATTATATGTGTTGCAAATATTTTCTCCCTGAGTGTGTCTTACCTTTTCACTCTCTCTAGAGTACCTTTTGTTGAATAGTCATTCATAATTTTAATGTAGTTAATTTTCCCACTCTTTTTTCTTCCCCCTACATTAAACATATTTTGGGTCTTATCTAAGAAATCTTTCTTTGTCCCAAGGTCAGGAACAGTATTCCATATTTTCTTCTTCTTTTTTTTTTGAGTTGGAGTCTCACTCTGTCACCCAGACTAGAGTGCAGTGGCCGCTCCCAGCCACCGCAGCCTCGACCTGCTGGGCTCTGGAGATCCTTCTGCCTCAGCCTTCCGAGTAGCCGGAATTACAGGCGTGCGCTACCGCACCTGGCTAATTTTTTGGTTTTAGTGTAGAGATGAGGTCTCGCCTGCCCAGGCGGGTCTCAAATCCGCGGACTCAGGCAATCCACTCACCTCAGCCTCCCAAAGGCGCGGGATTATAGGCTGAGCCACCAAGCCCGGTTCATACTTTCTTCTTAAAGTTGAAACTTGTGACTTGCAGATTTAAGTTTTTAATTCACCTGGAATTGATTTTTTTAATGAGATGGGATCTAATTTTAATCTTTTCTTTATGGATAAACAATTGTTTCACCATCATTTATTAAATGATTCTTCCTTTCCCCAATAATTTGTAACATTCACTTTGTCATAAATCAATTCTCATATATGTTTGAGTGTTTCTGGGCTAGCCATTTAACTACTAATTACTCTGGTTTTATAAGAAGTCTTTGTATCAGTTGAATCAAGAGGCCTCACTTTACTTTTCTTTTAGGGGTGTCTTGTGACTCTTGGCTCTTTTACTTTTTCGGATAAATTTCAGAATCAGCTTTTCACATTTCTTTTTAAGCATCTTTATTGGGATTTTAGTATTGGAATTGTTCTCAGTTGAGTGAGAGCAGATCTATGATAGATCCTTTTCCCCAAGTATGTGTTATAGCTCTCTCCACCTATTTAATTTGTCCTAATGTCTTCCAATAAACATCTTATGGCCAGGTGTAGTGGCTCACGTCTCTAATCCAAACACTTTGGGAGACCAAGGCAGGAGAATCACTTGAGGCCAGAAGTTTGAGACCAGACTGGGCAACATAGCAAGCTTCTGCCTCTACAAAAAAGAAAAAAAATTGCTGAGTGTGGTGGTGGCTGCTGTAGTCCCACTTCACTGTACTCCAGCCTGGCTGACAGAGTGAGACTCTGTCCCTAAAAATAAAAATAAAAAAATTTAAATCATATTGACTTCATTTCTAGGTATCTTAATATTCCACTAATGAGAATGCTATTTTTTTAAATTACATTTTCGTTTTTTGTTGTGAGTGTGTAGCAATGCACCTGTTTTTTCTTTACTGATCTTAGATCTAACTCTTTGCAAAACTGTTATTAATTCCATTAGATGCTGCCTGTAGATGCCGATGAAGTCTCTTAGATACATCAATTCTTTTTTTTTTTTTTTGAAATTTTGAGAACTGTTTATTATTTCCAATTACTCTCATTTCTTCATCCAGGAGTGGCTGCATGATATCAAGGAAGGGGTTGCTGGCTTCACGAAGAAGGAAATTAGCACCCACGGTAGACTTCCTGTGCCGATGAGGAGGTGGAAAAGGCTGGGAGCCTCCAAGAATGCCCTGGATGGGCCATGCTGCTGCTCCTGCTCTGTGGGATCTGCTCGGCTGCTCTGACAGAGACAGGAACTGCTGGCGTCACCCGCCTGATACCTTCCATGTGTTCTGGGTTGGAAATGAACTCACTAGAGCTAATGTTAGAAATAAACATATTAGATAAGCTCCACAGTTTGGGTTTGAATTTCCCAAGCAGCTATGTAGAGGCAGCTGACATAGTAAATGTCCACCACAGTGCCTTGGTGGTAATTATGTTATACACAGCAGCCTTTCAAAGGTGGGAGCTTCTGCTCACCAGCTTCAGAAAGAGAAAGAGAAAGAAGATGAAGGAAGAGAACAACAGGGGGCCTGGTTGCTTCTACCCAATACGACGGTGCCTTCTGGGTGGCAGAAGCCCCCCTCTGTCCCCACTGTCCTGCCTACTGTTAGCTACAGCTTCAAGGGCAGCCTGCACGCTGGGAGGTGCTTCATTGCTCACAAGCAGCTGGGGCACAGCGGTGGGTACTGGCAATTAGTTGGTCATGTCATTTACTGGCCACAGCAGAAAGCTGGTCTCTGATGCGGCCCAGCCCATCTAACATGGTGTCCAGAGTTTCTTTGCTCAGCTCCATGGTGACAGCAGAGGTGGAGGGTTTGTCTCCACACGGACTGGGATCTTCCTGGATCTTCATCAGGAGCAAGCAGGTGGGGACGGCCATGCGGCTGATGCTGTCTGAGGCGGTTTTGATATCCACTCTCCAATCCAGGTCGACCAGGCGTGGCAGAGAGATCTGATGTGCTTGGGCTTCAGTTCTCCAGGTAAATACGTGTTCTAGGATGATTTTTGTCAGCAGATTTTTGAGGTTTTGGTGGAAATTTTCTGGAAAGAGAGCCAGAATCGCCTCGGCGGAGAACAGGTCACGGAATACCACCAGCCTAGTGAGGCAGTGTAGAGCCTGAAGCAGTTGCTCTGCTTCCTTCTGGGTCACAGACAAGTTGGAACACGTAATATCCAAGAGTTTTTTTGAGCCAAGGGCTGAAGTGGAAAAGCCCTCTTGACACAGTTGTCTGACAACATCTTTCGAAGAGGCCTTTAGCAGGCTCTGCAGTGCGGAAAATTGCTCCGCCGTCAGGGCCACCATCTTCCTGGGTCACATAAATTCTTATGCATCATACACAGATAAAAACTTTTTATGTTTCACATATGAATACATAAATCCTGTATGTAGATTCTTTATATAATTTACTGCAAATAGGGACTGTTTCTGTATCTTATTTTTCAGTTGTTCTAATATATGTGTTTTCTCCTTGCCTTACTGCAATAGCTAGGACCTCCAGTACACTACTGAGTACAATGTTCATGGACATTCTTATCTCTTCTGATTTTATTTTAAATTTTTTTGAGTTTTCAACAAAATTTACTTAGAAATTAAGTTGGGGTGGGGGGAGAATCACCTCCCCAAGGTAGGGGAAAGGCCAAAGCTAAGAAAACATGGTCTGGCCAGTGCTTAACAAAACAATGGCTCTCTTTCCTGATTTTATTTATTTATTAATATTTTAAATATTTTAACATTTCTTCTTTGACGATGTTGGGAAGTTTCTAGGTAATACCTTTTACCAGACTAAAAGAACATTTCTTATTCTTTTTTGGCTAGAAGATGAGGGCAATACTTTGTCTTTTTTTGTTTTTGTTTTTTCTTCATTTCTATAATCCTTGCTATCTGGAGCACTGCCTAGACTAATGTACTTGATCAATACTATTTGTTGAATTAACTTGTTTATTGGGTTATGGTTTTTCTTCCATAATCTTTGATGTAGAAAATGGAATGCATAGATTTTTTTTTCCTTTTAAACTACTCTTGTGTTCCTGAGATATACTGAATTTAATCATGATATATTATCATTTTTTACATTGCTGAATTAGGTTAACTAATATTTTGTTTCAGATTTTTAAATCTATTTTCATGAATGAAATTATTCAATAATTTTCTGTCATGTACTATCTTGTCTGCTTTTGGTATCAAGGATATATTGGTCATATATAATCAGTTGGGGAACTATCCCCTCTTTCTCTGGTTTCTGAAAGAGTTTGTGTAAAATTGTAATTGGCTGGGCATGATGGCTCACACCTGTAATCTAACAGCTTGGGAAGCCGAGCATGAGGATTACTTGAAGTCATGAGTTTGAGACCAACCTGGGCAACATAGCAAGACCCCATCCCTAAAAATCAAAACAAAACAAAACAAACAAACCTTTTTAAAAAATTAGCTGAACATTATAGTCCCAGCTACTCAGGTGGCTGAGGCAGGAAGATCACTTGAACTCAGAAGTTCAAGCATACAGTGAGCTATGATCACCATCTGGGTCTTGTGCTTTATAGGTAGAAAGATTGTTAACTATTAATTTAAGTTTCTTAATGATAATGGGACTGTCTGGGGGTTTGTTTGTTTCTCTCGAGCCAGTTTTGGTAAGTTACATCATATATATGTTTGTCATTTTGATGTAAGTTTTCAAATTTATTCATAAATTACAGTATTCTTTTATTTTAATTTCTGCTAGAAATGACTTAAGACCCGCTTAAGTCACTGTCCCCACCACACGGCTGGTACAGTTACTATGAGAAACAGTATGGAGTTTTCTCAAAAATGTAAAAGTATAATTATCATATGATCCAGCAACCCCATTTCTGGGTATATATCCAAAGGAAATATACCATTATCCTCTTTCCATTCATAAAAATAGTTATTTCTACCTCTCACTTTTCTTTTTCTTACTCAACCTGGCCAAATGTTCATCTGTGTTATTACTCTTTTTTAAAAAAACTACTTTGACTTTCTTAATTCTATTGTTTCACTACTGTAACTTCATTTTCACATGTATTACTTTATGTCTTTATATTATTTTCATTTTCTACTACTTTTGGATTTTTTCTATTATCTTTTTTCCAATTTCTTAAGTTGGATGGTAGACTGGTTAATTTATAGCATTTCTTACTTTTTAATATAATCATTTAAGCCTCTTAAGTTTTCCTCTAAGTAATCTTTTCTTTTCATTGACAAATAATAATTGTATGGTTATAGGGTACAACGTGACATTTTAATACATGTATATGCTGTGGAATGATTAAATCAAGTTGATTAACCTATTCATTCCCTCACCTACTTGCCACTTTTTTTGTTGTTGTTGTTGTTGTTTTTTGAGTCAGAGTCTCACTCAGTCGCCCACTCCCGGCCGCCGCAGCCTCGGCCTGCTGGGTTCCGGCGATCCTTCCGCCTCAGCCTTCCAAGTAGCCAGAATTACAGGCATGCGCTACCATGCCCGGCTGATTTTTGATTTATTGTAGAGATGAGGTCTTGCTGCCCAGGCGGGTCTCGAACCCACGGGCTCAGGCAATCCACTAACCTCAGCCTCCCAAAGGTGCGGGATTACAGGCTGAACCACCGAGCCCGGCTTGCCACTTTTTTATAGTGAGAATGTTTATAATCCACCCTTAGCAACTTTGAAACAGACATTTTTATTACCTACGCTCACCATGCAGTACATCAGATCACTAAAACCTACGCTCCCTGTCTAACTAAAACTTGTATCCTTTGACCAACATATCCCCAACCACCATTCTTTGAGTTCAGTTCTTTTAAATTTCATATATTAATTAACCATGCAGTATTTATTTTTCTGTGCCTGATTTATTTCATTTAATATAAAATGTCCTCAGGGTGAGGCACGGTGGCTCATATCTGTAATCCCAGCACTTGGGAGGCTGAGGTGAGAAGGTTGCCTGAACCCAGGAGTTTGAGACAGGTCTGGGCAACATGGTGAGATTTTGTCTTTATAATAAATTTTTAAAAATTAGCCTGGTTTGGTGGTGTACATCTGTAGTTCCAGCTACTTGGGAGGCTGAGGTGGAAGGGTTGCCTGAGCCCAGGAGGCTGAGCCTGTGGTAGCCATGATTATGCCACTCCATTCCAACCTGGGTAACAGAGTGAGACTCCAACTCAAAAACAAACAAACATACATAATGGCCTCCATTCTCCAGGCTCATCCATGTTGTCACAAATGACAAGATTTCCTTCTTTTTTTAAAGACCACCTGTTGGGAGCTGGCCACGGAGGCCCACTGAGCGTTAGGGATCAGGAAGGGCCATTGAACCCGAGACCACTAGGATGCGTTCAGGAGCTATTGACCCCATTTCCTCCCCCTTTCTACTCAGCACTAACCAGATTAAGCTCCTGTGAGCTCAAAACATAGAAACTCTGAGATCGGGACAAACACAAGCTAACTTTAGAAGCTCATTGCTCCCATTCTTCCACAAACTGCAGTTTTGGCTTTCACACAACTTATAATTCAAACTCGTGTCACATCTAAGAGCCTTAGTATTGGTCACAGGCTTCTGGGTCATGATCTTAGGATTTGTTGAAGGTGTAAATTGTAGAATATAGTTTTAGAAGACAGCCATTTTGTTGAAAGAATGCAGCTGGGTTACTTGCAGGTAGCCCACTGTGAACTTTGGACTGGGCCACATTCCAAACATTCTGGGATGGGCCACTTTCATTTGTAAAGTAAATACTTAAGCTTCTATAGAATTGTTTAACTTGGCATAAATCAATCAGCTTAGGATGAAAAAGGTTTATAGAATATATCAGTCACGGATTAGGTTATCCTTTGTTATGGGATTTTAAGATTATCATATGAAAAGGGTTTAAAGGCAATCATTGATTAAGTTTTCATGGATTAAGGTTTCTGGTGGGTGGGGGATGCCCCTCCCACATCTGACTTTGTGTATAAAAGACCTGTTGTAATTCCCAATAACACACATCGCTTCTGCACTAGACTGGAGTCCAGTCTCTTTCTTTCTCTCTCTCTCTCTTTCTCTCTTTCTTCTTTCCCTACCCTTGGGGTACCCTGAACCTGCCTGGAGCTGGTCTTCGGCAGCCACCCAGCATTTCATTGTGCATATATATACTGCATTGTCTTTGTTCATCTGTAGATGCACACTTTAGTTGATTCCATATCTCGGCTGTTGTGAATAACACTGCGACGAACATAGAGAAAAGACATTTCTTCAACACATTGATTGCATTTCCTTTGGATATATATACAGAGGTGGGGTTTCCGAATCATATGGTAAATCTATTTTTACATTTTGGGAACCTCCATACTGTTTTTCATGGTGGCTGCGTTAATGTATTCATTTCCACCAACAGTGTGTGAGTGTTTCCTATTCTTCATATTCTCGTCAACCTTATTATCTTTTGTACTTTGAAAATAACCATTTTAACAGGTGTAAGGTGATATCTCACTGTGGGTTTAATTGTGTTTTCTAATTAAAGAAATTGAGTATTTTTTTCCTGTATCTGTTTGCCATTCATATGTCTTCTTTTGAATATTGGTTCAGGTCCTTTCCCCATGGGTCATTTACTTTTTTTTGCTAGAGTTGTTTGAGTTCCTTACATATTTTAGATATTAGTTCCTTATCAGTTGTATTATTTGCAAATATTTTCTCCCAGTCTGTGAGTTGTCTTTTCTTGCTTGTACTTTTGGGATCTTACTTAAAAAATCATTGCTCAGACGAAAGTCATGGAGACTTCCCTCTATGCTCCCCCTTCTAGTAGTTTTACCATTTTTAGGACTTATTTTTAAGTCTCTAGTCCATTTTGAGTTGATTTTTGTATGTGGGTGAGATAAGGGTCCAATTTTTATTCTGCATGTAGAAATCGAGTTTTCCCAGCACCACTTACTGAAGAAACGGTATGTTCTTGGTACCTTTGTTGAAAATCAGTTGGCCATAAAAGTATGGGTTTATTTCTGAGGTTTCTATCCAAGTTCCATTGGCAAATATGTCTTTTTATGCCAGTACAATGCTGTATTGATTTCTATCGCATCTTAATGTGTTGTGAATCAGAAAGCGTGATGCTTCAGCTTAGTTCTTTGTGCTCAAGATTGTTTTGGCTATGTGGGGTCTTTTGTAGTTCCATATTATTTTTAGGATTGTTTTTCTATTTCTGTGAAAAATGACTTTGGAATTTTGATAAGGATTGCATTGAATACATAGATCAATTTGGGCAGTATGAAAATTTTAACGTTAATTCTTCCAATCTATGAACAAGGAATGTCTTTGCAAATATGTGTGTCTCCTTCGATTTATTTCATC